GACCTCACGGAGCAGATTGCGGAGGGAGGAAAGGCCATTCATGAGCTGGAGAAAGTGAAGAAGCAGATTGAGCAGGAGAAATCTGAAATCCAGGCTGCTCTGGAGGAAGCTGAGGTACACAGCAGTATTTCTTGCTGCTTATGTGTCTTGGATCTCTATCTTGCTTATCTCATTCCAAGACAAAATAGAGAAGTGATCTCATAAAAGTAGCGATATTATCTAAGCATAGCACTCTTTTTACTCAGAGCTTCAGGTTCAACACTTGTTACATGAAAAGTATTCTTATTTTTTCTTGACCAGGCCTCCCTGGAACATGAGGAGGGGAAGATCCTGCGCCTGCAGCTTGAGCTCAACCAGGTGAAAGCTGAGATTGACAGGAAGATAGCAGAGAAGGATGAGGAGATCGAACAAATGAAGAGAAACCACCAGAGAGTTGTGGAGTCCATGCAGAGCACTCTGGATGCTGAGATCAGGAGCAGGAATGAAGCCCTGAGGCTGAAGAAGAAAATGGAGGGAGACCTGAATGAAATAGAAATCCAGCTGAGCCATGCCAACCGCCAGGCTGCAGAGGCACAAAAGAATCTGAGGAACACTCAGGGAGTGCTCAAGGTCTTATCAACAGAAATTGCCTACAGAGAAATATCTTGATTAATACTTTCAGTCCACAGAAGCTCTAAATCTTCTTATAATTTCTTTCAATGGCTCTATAGGACACCCAGATACACTTGGACGATGCTCTCAGGTCTCAGGAGGACCTGAAGGAGCAGGTGGCCATGGTGGAGCGCAGAGCAAACCTGCTGCAGGCTGAAGTTGAGGAGCTCCGGGCAGCCCTGGAGCAGACGGAGCGGTCAAGGAAAATGGCTGAGCAGGAATTAATGGACGCCAGTGAGCGTGTGCAGCTCCTCCACAGCCAGGTGAGGTCATTTAGTGAACAGTTTTATGCTTTATTTCAGTCACCACTGATGATCAACTTGGAGGAAGACAGATCGCTTTTCTGGAGTATTCATCATGTGACTAAAAAAATCTTTGCTGAAAAAAAAATGTGTGCACTGGTGACTTTTCCCTTACTCTGTTTTTATTACTTTCCTGTGCTAACCTCGGTGAATGAGATGTGGCACAGAGTATATTTCTAAGACATTTTCAAATTAATGAAAAATGGAGAAAGAAAGAAACAAAAATGTCTTTTCCGCAATGAAAAGAAATTTTACTAGAAAATTTCTGGTATTGCTTTTCCACTTATTTATGTCTTCATTTATTGAAAATCCTGTAATGTTCTTGATTTCAAATAATGAACTTACAAAAACAAACCTCTGATGCTGCTCAACAGAACACCAGCCTGATCAACACCAAGAAGAAGCTGGAAACAGACATTTCCCAGATCCAGAGTGAAATGGAGGATACCATCCAGGAAGCCCGCAATGCTGAGGAGAAGGCCAAGAAGGCCATCACAGATGTGAGTTGGGCGATCCTGGCATTGCTGATGGTGAATGCACTCTCCCCAAAATATTTTCAGCCCCAAAATGGCTTTGACCTTTTGTTCTGACCAGGCGGCCATGATGGCAGAAGAGCTGAAGAAGGAGCAGGACACCAGTGCCCACCTGGAGAGGATGAAGAAGAACCTGGACCAGACAGTGAAGGACCTGCAGCACCGTCTGGAAGAGGCCGAGCAGCTGGCACTGAAGGGAGGGAAGAAGCAGATCCAGAAGCTGGAGGCCAGGGTGTGTAGGGCTGGGGCTGTGCCTGAGTGAGCGTGTCCCTCCTTGGAGAGACATTGGCAGGGCAGCTGCAGGGCTGGGCTTGTCCTTGCAGGTGCGGGAGCTGGAAGGGGAGGTTGATGCTGAGCAGAAGCGCAGCGCTGAAGCCGTGAAGGGCGTGCGCAAGTACGAGCGCAGGGTGAAGGAACTCACCTACCAGGTAAGGCAGGAATCTTCTTCGTGTTGGTACACTCCTATTCCTGGATCCCAAAACGTAGCCCTGAAAGATTTCTCTCTGTCCTGAGTCTCACATACAAAAAGGAGAATAATGATAGCCCCCAAAGATTACTACCTTTCCAGTCATTTTAACAATATACAGCTTATCATGTCTGTCTTACTGGGCAGCAAAATCAAATAGAAATGTTACTCTTTATTTCATGTAGAGGAGGCTAAAAGAGATGCGTCTCTGTCTTGTCATTCTCTTTAGTCTGAGGAAGACAGGAAAAATGTTCTCAGGCTGCAGGATCTGGTGGACAAACTGCAAACTAAGGTGAAAGCTTACAAGAGACAAGCTGAGGAGGCTGTAAGTATCACTGTGTTCAGTCAGTCCTTATCCAGGTGGAAATGGGATTCCGTGTTGATGTTTTCCCCTGTGTAGCTCTGTTTGAACCTAGCTCAACATTGTGGTAGTAGGTCTCTGCTTCGCTTTGCTTTCTTTATGTCATATTTTCACCTATCAGTTTTACAGTGGAATTATTTTAACACCTGTTTGATGCTTCCTCCTCTCATCAGGAGGAGCTGTCCAATGTGAACCTGTCCAAGTTCCGCAAGATCCAGCATGAGCTGGAGGAGGCCGAGGAGCGGGCTGACATTGCAGAGTCACAGGTCAACAAGCTCCGAGCCAAGAGCCGCGAGATCAGCAAGAAGGCAGAAAGTGAAGAGTAAATGTCTCCAGTGCTGTTAAGTGAGAGAATTGCACAAAATGTGCCATTCTATCACTTTTATTTGTAGTCACTGCTTTGTCCTTCATTAATCTGTAGATGAATAATGCCTACATAATAAAAATTGTAGAGCTTATGCCATGTAAATAATGAGAAGTTGAGTGTTGCATTTTCATCATTACCCTGAATTCTACTAAGGTTTACATTTTTCCTTGCTTATTTTAAACTTATTTATTCAATTAAAAATCTTGCTTCAGGTATTTCAAAGTGTTTCAGCCACTTTTAAAGTGGTCCAATCAGACATCATGCTTTGTTCTCAGCAGGAAATTTCATCTAATACTTCCTTAGATGAGAAAATAATTTTTTCTCTGGAACAGAATGTAATTATCCCTTATAAATGTTGCTTTAGGAATAAAATAGATATCTTAAGTGTTCTGGCCAAACAATAAGAACTTATTACACCTTCCTTCCTACTCCCACTTAATTTTTGATTATTCTTTTAATTCTTGTGTCTTCTTTAGAAGATCATACTTCAAGTTAAATTTCTTCAATCCTTCAAGCCACTTTGGAACATAATTTAGAAGACATTTCATGCTAAAATGAGATCTACTTTCAGCTTTTGTTCATGAAAGTGATGTGCAAACCAACATTCCCAGGGCAGCATAGCCAGCAACCTCATAGTCAGTTGGTCATTGTCTATATTCTGTTTCCAAAACTACCCTGAACTTTCTAAACTGGTCAGGCAGACACTTACCTCCTATGAAGTCTCCAGTGTAATAATTTTGCCCAACATGGCCTCACTCAAAATGTGGATTTTCATCTTTTGTGGATATCAGCAAGCATCAGAGAAATCCATGGTTACCTCTTAAGAACCACATTGATGGTTCAGTGTTGTTTCCTGCTAATGCAGCCCAAAGTGATCTATTAACAAGAGCCTGGGTTACTCTCATCTCCTGGCATGGGCTGTACCATCAGGGACACCGTCCACTAGACCAGATTGGTCCAAGACTCATCCAACCTGGCCTTGAACACTTGCAGGGATGGGACAGCCACAGTTTCTCTGGGCAGCCTGTGCCAAGGCCTCAGCACTCACACAGGTGCTTCCTAATATCCCATCTAAACCTACTCTCTTTCTGTGGCAAGCCATTGCCCTGTGTCCTGTCCCTCTGTCCCTTGTCCCCAGTCCCTCTCCAGCTCTCCTGGAGCCCCTTTAGGCCCTGGAAGGAACTCTCAGGTTTCCCTGGAGCCTCCCCTTCTCCAGGTGAGCACCCCCAGCTCTCCCAGCCTGGCCCCAGCCCTTGGGGCACCTCCATGGCCTCCTCTGGGCTCTCTCCAGCAGCTCCAGCTCCTCCCTGTGCTGGGCCCCAGGACTGGGGCAGCTCTGCAGGTGGGGTCTGACCTGAGCACAGGGGCAGAGGGGCAGAATCCACCTCCCCTCCCTGCTGCTCATGGTGGGGGCTCAGCCCAGCACAGAGGGGATTTCTGGGCTCCAGTACCCGTGGCCATGTTGGGCTTCTTGTCAACAAATACTCCCAAGTCCTTCTCCTCAGGGCTGCTGTTGATTCATTCCTCCCCCAGCCTGTAGATGTGCCTGGGCAGGCAGTTAATGCCCTCACGTGTGTGTACATGTAAATGTGTGTACATTTGTACATGTACAAATACAAATACATGTGTGTATTTGTATTTGTATGTATATACATACAAATACAAATATACGTATTTATACATGCCCAGTGACTCAGCTCTGCACCTGGCTGCTGGCAGGACGGCAGGGGAAAGGCGAGGTTGGTGTGGGCCCTCAGAAGGCAGCAGGGAGGAGCAGCCTTGCTGTGACAGAAGTTCACTCCTCCACACTGGGTTTACTGCCAGACAGCTCCAGCAAAGCACAGTGTTGATGTCCCAGACACAGAATATATTTCACAAAAAGCAGAGGGGTCCTTAGCAGCAGGCAAGGCCCTCCTGATGCCCTGGTAATCCCTGCTGAAGGATGTTTCATAACCTGCTAGCAGGCTCTGTGCAGAAGGACAGAAGGGTTTAGGGGACATTACTGAGTAGGGCTGTGAGGTTCATCAAGGACAAAGAGCATCCCAGGAGGTATGGCCCTAATGCAATAAATACATAAATAGAGCTGCTGCTCTGAGCTTCCCCTGGGAAGGTCCTGGGATTTGCTTTAGATCAAGCCACTTTGGACACACAGACACCATCCCCTGGGAGACTTACATTTCTGCAGCAGGATTATCAGCCTGTCCTTGTCCAGGATCACTTCTCAAAATTATCTTAAATAACATCACAGACACAGACTTAGCTATACCTTCTCACATGCCTCACAGATATTCATTAAGAGAGTACCATCTGCTTCTCCCACCTATACACATATTTTTTGATTTCCCAATAGGTTTGTGGAATGCTACATCCCTTTACAAATGCTCTTGTGCTCATTATGTTTATTTATCACTGTGTCCTCAAATTCCAATCATTATTAGCTTCTACTTCTTCCTAGTATTGGCGCTAGGTCTAGCGGGCCACCATTCCCTGAAACACTTTTCAAAAATCAGAATTTTACTAGACAACTTCCAGATCTCCAAAAGCAAGGCAGCTTTAGCAAGAGCTCACACACTACAGCCAACAGCCCAGATGTTGCATTTCCATGCTTTTAGGGAAACTTTGGGTACCCTGCACTCTTGGACACCTGTAAATGACTATTTTTGTTTTCTATTTGGCAACTGGCAGGATGTACAATCCTCGTCATTTTATTAGCTGAAAAATTCTGGCATGGAAATCAAGCCATTTTTATCTCAACACCGATTTTTTTCTGCTACTACTAGATAAAAATCCCAAATATGCAGTATAATTTGCTCTTGTGCAAGGAGACAGTACAGATATGAAATCAGCTGTAAGAGGGGACAAACAATATGTTTTATTTCAATTGCTTCTGCCTCTACTTCTGTTTTTGCTACCAGAATGGCTTGGATTAAAAAAATGTAAGAAGTGGTTTGTTGGTTTCAGAATGGCAAGGTAAAAATAATAGCCTGGTAATTAATTTTTTTCAGTTTGGTTGCCTCCAAAAGGGCATAAGGAAGAAGAAGATCTATCATTTAAGGTGAAATTGCCCTGCAATCCACAGGATAATAAATAGTTCTTGTCAGTAACTTGCACTGAATATGGATTGCTGCCAACTTTGCAACTGCTGAAACAACCTCAAGATGTGATCATGCCACTGCTTTATGCTGGGGGAGGAAAAAGAGAGAAATTTAGGATCGACATCCCCTTTCCCCTAAAATATACAGTATAAATCATTGGCTATTTTGCAGTGTTCAGTAGTTAGCTGAAAGATATCTTCAGTGCCCATGTTCCAGTGTTATAAAGTAAGCTTTTCTAGGCTGGGAGTAAGTGACAGCTGTGAAAAAAAAAAGCTTGCAAATATATTTTTAGAAAGGAATCCCTCAAAGATTGTCATTAATTCAATTTGGCCTTGGTGCAGTGTCAAACTCATGTTCAGAGGTGCAGAAATCAGCATGAAATACACACTTTTGACAAGTTTGGGTTATCTTTCTGTTCCCTTTACACAAATTAATCTTCGTACTTTCATTAGAAAAGAGTATCATTTACAGACAGGCTCAAAAAATCAAAGTAAATGTTTTCAAACTTCAATACATTTGTTTCTATTAAATGCAGGAAGATGTACATCTCTGTGTATATGCAGTTTTTCTGGCAACACCAATCATTTGAGCCTAAAAGTCATCAGATCCAACCTGAGAAGAGCTGTGGAGGAATTCTTGTTCTTTGTCCATTTGGACTGAAGACAAAAAAGCTTTCAATAAAACAGGACACCACCAAAATAAACTGTGGGGTTACCATGGCAGTAAATCTCAGTGACTCATGTTATGCACCTTGAGAATGGTTTCTCTTCTCCTCCTTTTCTCCAAAACCAAAAGTTGTTTCCCCTACAACTTTGCAAACACAAAATTCAAATCACAGGGAAAAGGCTTTATCCCATGAATGTGCACTAAGAATGCTCATCATTAAATATTTTTGTGGTTTTCAGAGACCTGCATGAACAGTGAAGGATGAAATTCAAATTTACAGAATTTCTAATGCAGATTAATTATTTTAAAGGCCAGGCAACTTTGCAGCAGATGTGATGGAAGGCTCCTACACCAAAAAAAAATTACATTTTCTGAAGTTTTTTGAATTGATGGGGGACACAAGAAGATAGTTGGCCCTCTTCCCCTTTCAGTCTACCTGGTGTGCTGTAGCAAAATCAACACAATAGCCTGTTAAGATGGAGTGATAAAAGGTCTGAAAGATGTTAGGTTCAGGAGCAGATATATGTGTGCCTGAAGCCCAGGGAAAGGGGGTTGGGTATGAAATGTGAGAAGAGCTGTACTAGTTTAGACCAAAATGTCCATCTGTCCCCAAAGTATCAGATAGTTGCAGATACAGCAGCTGATCTGTCAGGGGTTTGGGCACCTCGTATGGAAGCCTTGCTTCCCTGGCCACTTGTACTGGGAAAATTAGCTAAATTATCTCTTCATGAGCATCCACTGGAAAAGCTGCTGGGTAACTGTCACAGGATCAAAGTTTTTAGTGCTGGAACAGGTGTGGTGTGTAGCCTCAGTCTTGCCAGAAGACAAACACGCTGCCATCCACAAAAAGCGAAGAATTCCTGAGATAGCCAAATGAACTAATCTGTCAGATTGTGCTTGGCTTGCTACCCAGCCTTCCAGCTCCCAAGACAGGCTGACATTTATGGAGCACACAGTTTGAAAAAGCCAGAATTATGAGAGCTCCTGAAGATGTTTGTGACTGATGAACTTTAGCAAATAGGAGAATATATCTAATTCCAGGAATAACAATTTACAGAAACCATGCAGATGAATCTGCTGGTACAACACATGTTTAGAGACTGACAAAATAAATGTGTGGTCCTTTCTTCAAGAGATAAATTGCTGTAATGTGAGGGACCCAAACCAGGTCTTGAGATTATTAAAATGTAAAAAGTGCCTGCAATTCTGCTGTCACAACCAAATTTAAAAGCTAATTTAAATGATTGATACACAGCACTTGGCCGAAGAAAAATACAATAATAATATTATCTCCACATCTGCGTGGTGTCATTGCCATTTCAGAAAGCATCTGTGCTCACA